AAAAAAAAAAAAAAAAAAAAGGAAACTAGGAAAACTGATGGCAACAAGTGAATACATAACCAGAGTGATTTTTTAAGTTTATCACACCAGGAACCAAAAGAGGGATTAAAATCACTCTCCACTTATGACTCAATTTCATCCAGTCCAATTTAACAACAAACTAGTAACTGAGATTGTTTCCTAAGCTTAGAAGTTACTTTCTATAAAGTAAGTGAAGGCAATTTACAAAGAAGTACTTTTTAAATTGTAAAGAAAAAAAAAAGAGGTGACTTTTAAAATTATGTTTGACAAAAAGAGTAAATTTTACTTCTTTTTTAACCTTATACAAGCATGCTCTAAAAGTAGGAGACGGAGTGGCACTAGAAGATTTGAAGTAGGAACGCACTACAATGTGAGTAGAAAATCGCAGAAAACAGATAGAAACTACTAAACAAGAAATGCACAGGGAGAGCAAGTTTATGGATTCCAATTTAAACCAGGATCATACTATTCATTTCTAGAATATATACCTGACCCGCCTGCGATGACATGATCGCAATGGAACCCGGCCCCCTCTCCACCCTATTCTTCTTCATTCCAGGCAAGGCCGCCTTAATCAAATGAAAAGTACCCATCAAATTCACATCAATCATAAATTTGATCTCTTCCAGTTCCTGCGTCTCCAGCTCCTGTGGCACATACACTCCATGATTACAAATCAAAACATCAATTACTCCCACCTCTTCAACGACCTTCTTTATAATCTCATAATCCCTGACGTCAGCGCTGAAGATCCTGACGTCACGCCCCGTTGCCAGCTTGATGGACTCCTTGGCCTCTTCGAGCCTGCTGACGTTGCGGGCAAGTAGGGTGACGTCAGCGCCTAGCTGGGCACATTGGTGAGCAAGGGCGAGGCCGATTCCGCTCGATCCGCCGGTGATGAAGACGTGGCGATTCTTGATTGGGACGCGGACGGGCCTGGGTCGGACGATGAGGTAGAGGAAGATGAGGATAGAGAGGGGGAGGAGAAGGATTAGAGAGAAGAGAGAGAAATAGGCAACCGCCATTGAAAACTTCTTTTCGGAGGACTGTGCGTGGATTGGAAGTGTATCATCAATCGCTGAAATTAGAAGGAAATGCAACAAGATGGCCCCTGAAATTAGGGCGTAGGGGGTGCGGAGTAACCCGTGACAGATCAGAGGACATGTTTGCCTAACTTAAAAGCAAGTCCAATTCACTTTTTTTTTTACCGAATTTGTACCACCTCTATCCCAAATAGTAGGTTATTTTCTTAGTTTTTTAATATGTTATTATTTTTCGCCTCTTGTTATCAACATATATGAATTACTTTTATTTAAATCATTATTTAACGCAAAGGTATATAGAAAAAAATATAAGTAAAATTTATATTTCAACTACATTAATTACGTTTTCTCAATATGCATTAAAATATAAGCAAATCTATCGTTATAGAATGAATCGAATATTAATTTCTCTCTTTTTAAGAGGTGTTTGATGGATATTATTGAGAAAAGAATATATTTTAAATAGTGATATGATAGAAAATACGTAGTTAAAAAGTAAAAAAAAATTATTGATGTGATGAAAAATATTATTTTATTAAAAAATGTGTGATTGAAAATGAATTTTGAAATAATATATTTTAAAAGAATATATGTCAAATGAACTAATCATTTTTCTTCACGCATTGTCACCATAAAATAATTTTAATTGTAAATTCATAATTTTTTCTTATTTTTAATCAAACATTCTCAAAAAAATAACACTTTTTACAAAAAAAATATTCTAAAAAAATCTACATCAAACCAACTTTAAGCTAAAATTATTTCAAAATAAGTAATTTATTTTTCAAGCCTAAATTGTTTAAGCATTGCCAAACAGGACTAAACCATTGACCATACTGAAGAGGGGCGTTGACGAGTGTCTGACAGCTAAGCTTGAGCTAACTTGAAAATTCCGAAATTCATTATGGAAGGTGACTATTCTTGTAGGACCATTAATTGGCATCTTGATGGTTCACTTGAACAAGTGGCGAGTTGGTAAAACATTTTGTACATCTAAATTTATCCTATTATTTTTCGTATCTTGTTATCAACAAATATGAATTACTTTTATTTAAATCATTATTTAACGCAAAGGTATATAGAAAAAAATATAAGTAAAATTTATATTTCAACTACATTAATTACGTTTTCTCAATATGCGTTAAAATATAAGCAAGTCTATCGTTATAGAACGAATCAAATATTAATTTCTCTCTTTTTAAGAGGTGTTTGATAGATATTATTGAGAAAAAAATATATTTTAAATAGTGATATGATGGAAAATATGTGGTTAATAATTAGGAAAAAGTTATTGATGTAATGAAAAATATTATCTTATTAAAAAATGTGCGGTTGAAAATGAATTTTAAGATAATGATATGACCTATAAGTACCACATATGAGCCCGTTTGGTACACATTAAAATGAGAGAATGCATTTTTTTGAAGTGATGTGATAGAGAATATGTGGTTGAAAAAGAAGGAAAAATTATTGATGTGATGAAAAGTATTATTTTATTAAAAAATGTGTGGTTGAAAATGAATTTTGAAATAATATATTTTAAAAAAATATATGTCAAATGAACTAATCATTTTTCATCACGCATTGTCACCATAAAATAATTTTAATTGTAAATTCATAATTTTTTCTTATTTTTAATCAAACATTCTCAAAAAAATAACAATTTTTACAAAAAAATATTCTAAAAAAATCTACATCAAACCAACTTTAAGCTAAAATTATTTCAAAATAAGTAATTTATTTTTCAAGCCTAAATTGTTTAAGCATTGCCAAACAGGACCAAATCATTGACCATACTGAAGAGGGGCGTTGACGAGTGTCTGACAGCTAAGCTTGAGCTAACTTGAAAATTCCGAAATTCATTATGGAAGGTGACTATTCTTGTAGGACCATTAATTGGCATCTTGATGGTTCACTTGATGACATCATAAAAATGTTACAGAAAAATAGAAGTTCCTGCCTTCTATAATAACTGTAATACTGAAACACCAAGAACCTATGCGACTCGATAAGAACGTACGTATCAGAATTACGCTCCACCGGCCATATCCACATCTGTAACTCCATCGATCCCCTTGAAAACGACGCGTAATTTCCTCAAACACGACTGTTTCTTGTCACCTTTACCGACCATGCCATTAACATGGACAATATCCTTGGGAATTTTAACCATCAGATCAAACAATGGTATATCAAGATTTGATCGAGTCATCTCTTCTAGTACTGGAGGCGCTTGCATGTACAAATTCTTCCCTCGGTGAGTAACACTTACTCTACTAAGGAGCAGCCCGGGATGACCTTCGAGCAGATCGATGAACTGTTGCAAGACCACATTAATTGAGCGCGTAAATGCAAAAATTACAGTAGAAAAATGCAAATTCGAGACGGGAAAATAAAATAAAAAATGTGGAATCCTAATAGATACTGAGGTAACTAATGTACCACAGGCCATGCTTTATGAATAGATAGATTATTCGAGTGAGAGCACATAGAATCTTATGAATAAAGCTTCTGCTCGTGTGGGTAACCCAGTCATAATGAATAAGAAACGACTGTTTACGAATCAACCACCGCCAATACCAATATAAAATAAATAAGGCCACGAGGGAAATAGAGAAGAAAGAAAAGAGAAGAACCTTTCTCAAGGTAATGGAAGTATCGAGCTCAATAAGAACACCAGGACCACAAACAAGACAGTCTCTGTCTCTGACAAACTCCGTAACTTTGGTGTGGAGACCTTCAACTCCATTGTATCTGAAACAAAATATTACAATTATAAACAAATAGGTTCCACTTCAAATGATAGAAAGAAAATTAGACTAACCAAAAAAAAGAATCAAAATGAGATATGCAAGGCAAACATATAGCAGATAAGCACAAAACAATGCACTCTTCACTCAAACTTGGTTAATTCCATATTTGGCGAGGCAAACAAAAGGCGGCAGACTTGTTATAATCACTCAGTGTAATCAGTGTGAGGAATTGGTGCCATAAATTTCATTATGAAAAGATCAATGGTGAAACTAACAACCCATGAAAGAAACCTGGAGTTTTCATGGAGAATAGTCACTTCATCTATTAACAAAATCGAAAACTGAGGCAGGCTTACGTTAAGTAATTTGATAATGTCCTGCTGCACCCAGAAACAATCTTCAAGGTTTCCAAAGCACAGGCAGCTGAGATAATCGCATTAGTGGATGCTATAGCAGGAATGATATTTTTCACGACTCCCTGTAAATGGCAAAAACTTAAATGTTTTGTTATTACATGTACATTTTATGAACAAAATGGAGCACATAAAGATACAGCATGTAATACGAATCAATGACCTGAGTTATATTGGCAGACCTGCAGTAACTTGCCAGCAGTGAAAAGGTAAAAAAAAAAAAATTTTGACATACATCATCATTCCACGAGTCAGACAAATTAATATAGCTGATAATAACAAGTTGCAACACATTTGCTCACCTGAGTCAAAGAAAATGTAACTCCTTGAATTCCAAAAAGCTCAGCCCTCTTAAGAGCCTGTGGGATTAGATCGGATGAGTTAAACGTAACACACACAGAGAGGCGAGAGTGAAATAGAAGAAGTCTCAACATCTCCTTGGATTCATTAGTACAAACATATAAAACACTAGTTCACCTCATAATAAACCCACTGTATATGTTCGGGGTTATCTGGATCAAAAGTTTTGCCACTGTGGACCTGCGAGTGGAACATATAATACGATAAAGCAAATGATGCAAAGGCATCCCTAAGAATCACCACCGTGTGAAAGATTCAGTTGATATGCTTACCTCATCCCATTTAATCAAATGGGCATATTCAATACAATGAGCAGCAGTTCTAGGAGTTTCTGCAAGAGTACATAAAGGAAATTTTACTTGTGGTGGAAAGAGCCAAATGGTACACTCGAAACAAGGTGTTGTTCCTGGCACTATAATCCTGGCATGGCCCTTGAATCCTTCAGTTCCACCATCCACCATAGGCTTGACGGTTTCTTCCCTTGGATTATCACCAGAGTCATACTCTGTTTAAACATAACAAATAGACAGAAAACACAAGTCATACAGAGTAGTAAGAAAGCTTTGTCCCATTCGTGTTCAATATTTATTTTCTAAATATAAAACATAAAATAAATCTTGTATCCTATCCAAACCTATTGGAATTCCAAGGTGAAAGAAGTATGCATGTGCTTCTGAATGGTATTTAGTTCTTTTTTGTGTTTTATCCAGAGCATGAGGATTACTTTTTTGTCTGGAGCTTAGTGAAACCTCCAGTCATCAAAATTCATGTCAAGGTTCACATAAGGACTTTACAGTAGCGTTATTAGGAGGCAGAGGTAACAGAGCACATCATCCAGCATCATTAGAAAATACATTGCATTGTCTTTCTTTTATTGTGTCGACAAGCTACTTATCAATACGAATAAATAAGTTATTCAAAAGGAAGAAGTATATATCCAGTTTTCCAATTGCAATAATACCAATCCAAATAGTTACAAAAAATATGAGCATCCAGTAACACCATACACACTCTTGAATACATCGCATTGTCTTTCTTTTATTGTGTCGATAAGCTACTTACCAATAAGAATGAATATGTTATTCCGAATTCAAAAAGAAGTATATGTCCAGTTTGGCAATTGCAATAATACCAATCCAAATAGTCAAAAAAATATGAGCATCCAGAACACCATACACACCCTTGAGCTTGTAATTTACCATATTTCTCAAGCATGTGCCTAGTCAAACACATATCAATATGTCCAAAGTTAAGTAGTTACAGGAACAAAGTTATGTTTAAAGCTCAGAATGCTCCACATGAAACTCCAAAAAACAAAAAGCATAATTATATTTTCTGTATGCTTTTACCTCTTTGGAACTAGGTTCAGTTTTTTCATGGAAGCTACATGGTGATTATTTACTAAAATATGGTTGGCATAAGGTATATCAACAAGGTTCACATATGATCTACAGCAAAAGGACCAAGAATTGAATTCGACAAATGGGATAAACCCTTCTCATCCAAATCCAAAAAATTAATATTAACATTGCGTCAAACTCATCTAAAAACATAAGCTATTAGACAAGGGGGATTTTATTTATTTATATCTCCATCATATTCTTTTAGGTACATGCCAGATTTTTTTTATTTTTATTTTTTCACGGAGCTTCATGAAATTTTCCATAATTGGGCCATGGTTAGACTCAAACTCAGAAACGTAGCCTACTCCATGACTCTGTTGAACCACCACATTAAAAGCTTAAGTTCTTATAAAGAATGATGATTTTATTTATTTATATTCATATCTTCAACAAAATGAACATATAAAAACAAAAAGTTTCACCTGATTAACAAAAGATAATGATTCAAGCATAATACTATTCACCGAACTTTATCAAAAGGAACAAAAAATCATGATCCCCAAAACCCATTTATTTTCCTAAATAAGCATCACTAGGCAAATATTTATTCATTTCAGATGTTAACAGGACCCAAAATTCATAGACAGGTTATAATCTAAAAAGGGATGGCAAACCTAGAAAGCCACAAGCCACGGCATTTATGTAGCTTCGAGCCTCAATGGAATCAAGACCAAGGACGATTATGCTGAAATCGCTATAGAAATCCAATGGTTTGTCCTCAATGCGACAGAAATGTGACGTGATATTCACTCCACTAACTCTTTCCATCACTCTTTTTGCAGCAACTTCAGCCTTTGGCTTTCCTACATCTTCAAGCCTACAGAAAATTACCAACAATAAGTGTTTTCAGCATGAATTAAACTTTCTGCTAAAATCCAACTACTTCATATAAAAACTGAACCTGGAAATTCATATTCGTTAGTTTTGAACTCCAAATTAAATTTCTTTTGCATTTGGAAGCATGGATTAGGGCTTCATAACCAGGGTTTTAATAAGACTTCAGATGCCAAATCTGCTAAGGCTTGGGTTGTCAAACTCCGGTTCAAGACCAAGTTGAGAGATTCACAGTTATGTGAAAACATTTTTACACTTTTGATTTGTTCTACCTGTCTCAAACTCAATTTGGTAGGTTAACAAGTATCAAAACAGCGAAAATCAATAATGCTGTTCAATTTGGCCTTTATTTCTGGCAAAAAGCTCAATCAAGGTAGCTGAAAAAAATAAAAGATCCAAGCTTGAGTATATTTTCTTGCATATTTGTGATTATTGTTTTCAGAACAAAGTTGAGACAACCTAAATCTTAGCTCAAGTTCGGTCATTGACACCCCTGACTCATAATGGAATTGGAGGGGATTCGCATAATTTTGAATTGATTTTTCTTGAACTCCAAATTGAAAGGTAGATCCATGCTGGAAAATATGGTTTTCACATGTTGGTAATCTTAGTTCCAACTCCCAAAATTCATACAAGGAAACGTAGGCGAATGCAAAGGTAAGGACTTGTTAATTCTCATTCTACCCTTTGGAATACACATCATTACCCAGTAATCTAGTCCAAATTATATGACCAAACCTAGTGAATATCCAAGAGCCCAATTGAATTATGAATCTTTACAACTCAAAGGATGCGACCACTACTATTGAGCAACAGGCAAACATAAACCCCTTAATCACCCAAAAATCTTTCAACAATATTGTTCCTTAACCTTCATTCATTACACTTAGATGCATTCTAATTAACATATTTGCTCATATTTTTGCGGTGCGTTCACATATTGAGCACATAATTAACATTAAGATTAACCTGAATAAAAACTGGCGATTAAGATTGGTTACTTCGATGCGATCCATGTCAATGACGTCGAGGTTTCGGAAACCGGATAAAGCCAAGTCTTTCAACAATTCGCATCCAAGCCCGCCTGCGCCTACTACCAAAACTTTCACATACTCCTTTATGTCATCTCTCAACTAAATGCATAAGAAAAACAAATAAAAACAATAGTTAGACTGATTTTGATAGTGAAAACATCAATTCACAATGTGTTTGTGAAAAATACGCAGTGGGGAGAAAAAAACTCAAGACACAGGTAGAAAGAGAAATAATACTTCCGGGCCGGGCTCAAAGTTAGGCCCGACAAGGTGCCCAGGCCGGAGGAGGAGCTTGTCGAGGTCTCTTGATCTGCTGGGTGGCACCGTCGCCATCGTCGCCTGAGAGTGTTTACGGGGAGCAAACTTATTTGAGGATCGTCGGGCTGTAGAGCTTAGAACTTGCAATATATTGCTTTTATGAAAAGCCGAAAAAATTGTGGGTTTGTGGGGTTACAATTTATTTTTTAGAAAAAAAGTGAAAATTTATGAAAGTTTTTGAAATGAAAGTCTACAGAACGGAATTTCTAAGGATGATCAAAGATTAAGAGAATGTTTACTATTATCTCTTGCATTTGAACTCTTTTTTTTTTTTTTTTGAAAACTTTCCCCTTTGGTTCGTGCTTAGTTTCTAGTTCGAGTTCATTTTCACTTTTCTATTTTGAATGCTTATTTTAAGATTTTTTAAAGCGTGTTTGATTTGTTATTTAAAAAATTAATTCTTAAAACGGAAAATTAAAAAACGCATTTGTTTTGAAATTTTGAAAAATTGTTTCATGACCTTTTATTCAATAAAATTTGATTATAAGTAAAAATAGAACAATTATATAGTAATATATTATTATATAATATTGAATTTTAAAGTTGGTGAATCTTACGATTTTTTTTCTCGTACAAAAGGAAAATAAAAATAAATAATAAATTGAGTTTAAATATATAAAAAAAATTAATGCAGTGAACTGAGAATATTTTTTATCCGTTTTCACTTAAATATTTTTTTTTGAATTTGTTTAAATCATTAAGAACTTGAGCTATTTGTATTGATTACTTATTATTTTTTTATTTTTTTAAAAAAAGTTTTTATAATTTTTAATTTTTAAAAAGTTGCGAGTCTCATAAATTGTATGTTTAAACTAATTGTTAATTTTGACTTGAAATTTTAATTGGATTTTAATCCAAACAAAACAAGGGCTTAGAGCCCGTTTGGTAAAGATTAAAATCTAATTAAAATTGAAAATATAGTAATTATTGGGTCTCATTCATCTAATAAAAGTCAATAATAACGGCTAGTTTTTCAATTTTAATCTGATTTTAATCTCTACAAAACACTCCCTTAATGTAAAGGCTTGTTTTCCATTTTTTGTGCGTTTTAGAATTTTTACTGAAAACACTTAAAACGTCAAAAATGCATTTTGCTTTTTATGTTATAAATTTATCTTTATTTTCAAAAATAATTGACCAAAACGTTTTCAATGTTTTGCAAAACTGAAAGTTAAAAATAGTTTGAAAACAGAAAACCAAACACATATTTTCTGAGAGAAGCACTATATGTACAAGGAATTTTTAACAGGGTCAATACAGAGGGACACCTGTATGTGGAGATTTTTCCATTTTCTAATAGGCAATTCTCGTAGTTTTCATTTACATCCTCATGTTAAGAAATGTCCAAGCAAGCTATAAAAAGCACATTTTACTAATTAAGTTACTTGATTTTTTCAAGTAATACATATGAATTACTCTTTTTACTAACAAAAATGACTTCCTAAAAAGTAATTATCAAGTTACTTGAAAATGACTTCTAACTTCAAAATAAATACTCGTGGACAAAATAAACACTTTCAAGAGAGCACATTTGTCAAAACTAAAAAAGAATTCATCTTTACTCATTGATTCAATATGCAAAGCTGCCAACAAAATTCACTATCCACAATTGTTCTCTGAGTGCAGCGATGTATCATAATACAATGGGAAGAAAATAAAGATCAAAAAAAAAAAATTCTGTCTATATGCCCAATCTATCTAAACATTCAGTTCCTAACTTGCCCTAAAAAACTAGTACTTCTATTTTTTGAAATAAATAAAAACGCATCAAGATTTCTGATAACCCAACATTCAGATGATCTTTGCTCGGCTCGATACATGCACATATGATCTTGTGCAATACAATTTGTACACTCCCTTGTAAATGATCATACTGCCACTGCATGAACTGTTGACGAATTCGTATTTTTCTTGGAGTCATGCTTTAGCAGGAGGGCATAGAGCAGCTCGTTCCATGCATCTGGGACTCCAGGCAGACACCAGTGGCTGCAATCCTGTCTATGAAGGGGGGCAGGACCAACGTTTGGACCCAAGTAATATAAAGAAGAATGCCCGTCTTTTCTTCTTGCTGACATATGAGTTACATTTAGTGTTCTCAAATCTAATTCGTTCCAGTGACTTGACATTACATCGGCAAATATGCTATATTGAACCCAAGTGTGTGATGGCACTAATGAAGAACCAAGCTCTGGAAGCGTCTCCAAGTGACAGGTTCCTCCGGATCTCCAATCTCCACCCCTGAAAAAGTTTGTATTCACTTTGTTTATTGAAATGGACGAGCGTGCTTTAAAAAAAAAAACATGTAGGATACATGACACATAGATGCAGCACATTTGGCACGTCTACTGACCTGTTCCACATGTTTTACAATGGAGAAAAAATCTAATATGCTAAGGGCTTATTTTGTAAGTGGTTATTTGTCAACGCGGGATGCTGTTAGATGACGTGGAGCAAACTATAAACGTATCAGGTAGGCCTAGCTTGGTTGTTCATGACAGGTCCCAATGCATATTCTAGGTGTATAATCGAGACTTGTAGCTTGATTCTTTACTCATTCCATACTGGAAAGAATTGCAGGAAATCTTTGGTAACACTTCTTCCTATTTCTTTCACATGATATCCAACTACATATATTTAGGCCGCCCTATTTTCTTCTGTATATAAAATATTTTTAGGGTGGTGTTTCTAGTAAAAAACTGATAGATGAGTGTGTGACTTGCACCATTTTCATCTTGATGTTAAAAGCAGCAACGAGTGGACGTAGTTCACATTAATTGTTTACCTCTATAAATCCAAGTGTATTTCTGATTTTGTTTTGTTTATGTAATTGAAAATTAGGTTTAATTCCTAAGATACGTAAAAATTTCAATATATTTGGGCTCAAGAGCTACAACCACTTTTCTGTATCACCATCCTCACATTCTAATACTAAATCAATGAAAATGCACTGAACTCCAATTTGATACTCCCCAAACGTTAAGCATATACGAAAATAAAGGTGACAAAAAAGAGCTAAAAGATAAAAAAAAAGGGTTTTGGGGGAAAACCTGAAATGTACGGGAGCATATGTCCGAAAGAAGACCTGTGTCTTGGTGGTATTCACTTCACTATGTATCCATTCTACCACTGTTTCTAAGGACTTCCGGTATGCACTCTCAACTCTCATGTCCATCTTCACCTCGGATCCTTCTTGGAAGTAACAACCCCTGAGAATACATACATATATCTTAAAAATCAGCAAATTCAAAATGGTACATAAACAAAAACATAACGACATATTGCCTCATTCTATAGAACATTCAAAGTAAATATTGACCTTCATCGTGACCGCTTAATACACGTGTCATTCGTTTTCATCATAATTTTTTTTCTTTTTTCTTTAGGGTGCATACGTGTAGACTGTGTGTGATGGACCAGTTTTTATCTAAAGTATGGCATCTACACCTACATTAGGCAAAACACAAAATTCAAAGAGGATAGACAAAGCAAATATCATATGAGAGAAAGAACTTAATGCAAAATTACCCTCTTATGGTCTTCTCATAATTCCACCAATGTCCCGTGTTGAAAACGAGCACATCGGCATCTTTCCATTTTGTAGAAGTCCAATCCATTTGATCTAGTTTTAGAGTTGTTTTAATCTTGGATGGAACGTTGGCAGGAGGCCGTCTCTGCAATACAAGAAATGGAGCCCTGTAGTACTCCACGGTACAATTATATTCCATAAACTTGTATACCAAGAATCCTTTATGCTTTGTAATCGGGTTTCCATTTACTTCGTAGATTGAGTCCTTGTTGGAAATAGCAGAAGACAGCATGCAGAGAAGGGACTCCCATTGGTTTCTCCCAATTGAGTCTCCGACAAACACTAGACGTTTATTTCGCAGATTTTTTAGCATAATCTTCGCATCAAATCTGTTTTACAAGCATAGAGAAAAAGATAACCGAATTATTCCCTCCAATTTCATCAATTGCATATTTGGTACGCAGTAATAGATCATATTGAAAACTTCTTTCTTAATACTGTCTAGTGTGATCCACCCTACCAAACATGCCGATATTTATCAGATGAGATCCTTCCAAATGAGAATGCTTAAATGCACATTAGAATGTATTTTAAAAAATGTAGGTTTTGTTCGTCTAAAATTTAAATGCATGGATAATAAATGAATAGTAGTTATGAATTATGGTTGAGATTAATGTTTGACTTTGACGGATGGAAAAATAAACTTTTTAGGAAACAAGAACAGAGCAGTAATCCGGGAAAACAAAATGCAAATTTGAGGATGGTAGTGAAATTGATCCTTTAAGAAAATTCACACTTCAGGATTAAGCAGAATTGATCCTTCAAAACACTTAATACATCAGGAAAAACCTCAAAAGGATGACACAAACTTGCTCCTCGGCAAACTGAATTATTCATCAATAGAAGTAACAATAGGTGGTTAAGAAAAATGGCCAATTCGAAATAACTATAACGATCATGGTATTATAGCGAAACAAGAACAGCAAGCACGAAAAGAAAGTCAAGTATATACCACAAACTATCAGATTTAGAACTCTTACAGCCAAACCACTATAAGTTACTGGTAGAGCATAAGGGCGAAGTAAGGCGTAACTCAGACGAGCAAATACAGAGTTGATAGTTTTCACTTCTCATATACCATTAGTCATGAGGAATATATTCTCGTCATACATTGGAGAGAACATCGCAAGAAAAATAAGGAAATAGAAAAAAAAAAAAGGTCCAATCAGATACTGCCAAATCCATGCTGAAATATCAATCCTTCGCTTGCCATATAATAATAATTCCTATATGGCATGTTTGATGGGAAAGATTGGATAGGATCCCGGTATTATGAAAGTAAAAAAGAAAAGTACCAATTTTGTTGATCAAACCACAGGGCAACACTATCAGGTCTTATGAAAAACAATTTCATGCTTGTTCAAGACACACAACATCAAATCACAATCCTGTCAATTCTAGCATATCTTTTAATTAAAGAATATAGAAAATTTACCTGGGTAAATTGCAACCTTTGGGCTGCCACCTCCACTTGGTGTAGAAAAAATCAGGTCTCCCATTTTCAGAACATTTGAATCCTTCATCCAAGAAACTACAATTTTTAGACTGATATAAAGGATAACTATCATCCCACACCCAATCACCTTCAAACACGTCACACCCACCATTATTTTCACTCAAATAATCAACTTTTTTTCTACTCTCAATAACACCCCAACCGCCAAATCTTAACCACAGAAACCTCTCATTCTGAGAAGGAAATCTAATAGTTACACTTCTGTAATTCAACAAAAAGAAGCAAAAAATCACACAAACAGTCACAAAAAAGAATCCAAGAATCCTTATTGAGGGCTCAAACAGTCTCAATCTCTTGGCTTTCTTGCAGAAATCCATAAAACCAGAGTGCTCTTCAAATGGGCTATTACACGTTTGAATCAAGAATCAATTTTTATCTGTATACACATAAATAGGAGTAAAAGAAAGAAATAGTGACTAAAGAATTGTAAACGGCAAGCAATATTTCAACTGAAAAATCATCATAACGAAGCTTTTTTTTTTTTTTTCAATTTTTT